AAGCTACTGAGCATGATTAAAAATTAAGACAGCATAAGCACAAAATTATTCCAGATATTAAAGGTTCTGACAAGTACAGAATTTTCAGAGTCTTGCCACAAATAAGCCAGATATTGATTATTGACCATTTGCGATGTGCCATAATGAGCAAAAATTTAAAAAACTAATAAGTAGGTTTAAAATTAATAAATACAAATGTATTCTGACTGTTTGAGTTAATTATACTTTCTATTTGCAAAATTTCCTCAACCTTAACACAAAATAAGAAAAAAGTGAATTTTTAAGAAATTTGCAGGATTTCCCAAGATGAGAAGAATTTCCCAGGTTAAAAAAACAACCGGGATCCCATTTGAGAAACCCTAGTCATCACCACTAACCCAGAGAAATTATGTAATGTTCAGACACAAGTTGTAAAGTATTTTGAGGTTCAGGGTTTAAGTTTTGAGCATTTGTTTTGAATGTAACACACATGCCATTTATTATTGTGGTTGTATGTGAGCAACATTCATATGGTTGTACCTTGAAGCTAATGAGAATAATGTCTGTGTACATATAAAATTTTTTGCATACAGTAACCTATACTATCATTTCCCAAGATATTTCCCTCTCTTTTGACTTACCCTGTATAACATTGATCTTTACACCAACTTTTCATACATTTACTTAACATATTCAAAATAATAAATTACAGACACAAGTTTTTAATTTATTAAAATTAATATGACTAGACTCTTCTGTCGCTATATCTATAAATATAAATAAAAATTAATACAGTGGGTGTTCAGTTAACGAACCTAATCTGTTCCAAGACTTTGTTCGCTATCCGAATTGTTCGTTAACTGATTATCGATTTACCATAGGTTTCTATGGGAANTCATCTTTAGTCTTTTTTTGGTGCCTCTGTGTCAAGATTGTTTTTTTTTCCACACCTCAGGAATGTTGTTAATGAAGAAAATTGAAGATTTCATTACATTTTTTGTTAATTGTAGGAAATTAGATTATTATAACATTACAAGAAATCCTTGTTAATTCAAACTTAGATAGTTCAAAACTGTTGGTTCATAACTGTATTATTTGTCCCAGCTAGGGATATGGAGGTTTATATGTTAGGGAATAATATAAAATAAGAGAACATACTATAAAAGAATAAAGACCCTTGAACAACTCTTAATATGTCAACATGACTTTGCTTTTTTATGTTAACACATTTTTGGGTGTTACCTTATCCATCAATTATCTTTTTCTCTTGTAAAATACAACTGGATTTTGGGGTTGCAGATTGAGATATTTGTAGGGCTCTACACTACTAGATATGGATGACTTACTACTATTTGAGCTACATTTTGAGGATTTTTCTCTACTGTTTATAAACCTATTTGACAACCTGTGAGATCCTCACTGGACAAGTACTGTCCATCTGCAGTTTATTTATACTATAATTATTAATTAATGAAAGTAGTGTTCTGTATATGCAGCCATATCCTTTTGCTCACAGTTGCTTACAATTACATCAGTTACATGGCATTTTGTGTATTATACAGAAATATGTACATCTAAGATAATTCCAAATTCAATTATTTGAAGTCATGACTATTTTGTCCCTTGAATTTTGAACTAATGAGGATTTCCTGTAATGTTTCATTAGAAAGTTCCATTTCATCATCATTCTTTAACTCAATTTTAATGAATCATTTCTTAAGTTTTCTGCTATTGTATCACAAGATGTGATTGCTATTTAAAAACTTCTTTGTCATAGCTCTATGATGTCAAACAGCTTGTCTTCAATCACTACTATAATGCAGGCTTAATGTATAAATACTCCAACAACCATTGTGTGACTACAACTATTCAAAAAGCATTAGACCAGCTGTAAAATTGCACAAATGAAAAGAGTTCTTTTAAAAAGCAGCAGAAGATTGTGATACCTACAATAGCTACCACTTTAAGTAGTATTTATAGTACTTTAGTACTATAGTACTTTAAGTAGTATTTGTTATATAGATGTAAAATGAGGGTAATAAGAGTCTGTAAAATAATAAAACATTTTTATTATAACAGTAAAGTGTATATAATGAAAGCATACATACAGTGTACATATATACAGAGTGATTCAAAAAGTATTGAACACTTTCAAAATTTTATTATTTAGTAACTAAATTTTAAATGAGCATGTAGTGTGCACCAAGTTGTAAAAGAACTGACAGTTTTTCTTAATCCTACAACTTTTGATATCTATTTTCCATGTCACATAGTGGAAGTAAATTCTATAGTCTAATTTATCCAAGACCCATTTTAGCAGATCAATGGTTGGTACAGTAAACATTTGAAGATTTCTTTTATTTCTTCAAATCTGTGTAGAAGAGGTCCTTGGTCATATTGTATCAGTGATATCTGGGGATCTGAGTGGCTGCTCTCAGAAACAAATCAATGCTTTGGATATGGGTTTTTTCTTATTGAAAATCTTCAAATAAGAAAAAAATTTATGAACACATGATTGGAGAAAAATGAAATCCTCACTGGAACAGTTTTATCAAACAGAAATAACTCATTAGCCTAAATCTGGCTGCTTTGTAAAGGTTGAACAATGGGTGGTAGAGTTTATGATCTGTCCATAAATATGATCGATACATTGTATTCTCCGGGTTGATTAATGGTATATTAGGGAGAAAATTTTTTCTGGAAATAAACCCAAGAAAATTGGGAGTCGACCTATATTCAGTTCAACTTATATTTGGACAAATACAATAATTAAATTGAGAGCATATATAGTTTCAATTTAATTAGTTATGAAATTCTATTAATAACATTTTACTTATTTGAAGATAATCAAAAATTAGAATACAGTAACAAATAATCAATGTTAAAGCTAAATTATTTACTATTTTGTGACCAAGTGATGAATTGCAACTCTGAAGATACACTCAGAAGTCATAAGTTGAATGAAAATTTTAATATCAGTGCCATTTATAAATATGTAANCATCTCCCACACTCCGAAAAGTTTCGAATTGTTGCCCGAAGACAAGGGAAGACCAATCGGTATTCATTAATTTATGTCGCTTCTTCTTATGTTTGTTTTGTGGGGTGTTCGTTATCCGTTGTGTGTTCGTTGTCTGAACATAAAAATCTTTCGCGAAAGTGTTCGTTATCTGATTTGTTCGTTATGCGATCTGTTTGTTAACCGATCACCCACTGTATTTGCAGTATTTTTAAAAATAAATAGAGAATGGATAAATGTGATCTGAAATCTTAATTGAAGTATCTCTTCCTATAAATTAATGTTATTAATCAAAAGATACTATTATATAATAAAAATATTTATAAAAATTAAAATTTTGAATTTATTACTTTCCTTCAATAAAAGAAATGAGAGAACAAGAACAGAAAATTAACTACACACTTTTTACAAACTATATAAAGTTTAAAACATTTTTATTATAACAGTAAAGTGTATATAATGAAAGCATACATACAGTGTACATATATACAGAGTGATTCAAAAAGTATTGAACACTTTCAAAATTTTATTATTTAGTAACTAAATTTTAAATGAGCATGTAGTGTGCACCAAGTTGTAAAAGAACTGACAGTTTTTCTTAATCCTACAACTTTTGATATCTATTTTCCATGTCACATAGTGGAAGTAAATTCTATAGTCTAATTTATCCAAGACCCATTTTAGCAGATCAATGGTTGGTACAGTAAACATTTGAAGATTTCTTTTATTTCTTCAAATCTGTGTAGAAGAGGTCCTTGGTCATATTGTATCAGTGATATCTGGGGATCTGAGTGGCTGCTCTCAGAAACAAATCAATGCTTTGGATATGGGTTTTTTCTTATTGAAAATCTTCAAATAAGAAAAAAATTTATGAACACATGATTGGAGAAAAATGAAATCCTCACTGGAACAGTTTTAATCAAACAGAAATAACTCATTAGCCTAAATCTGGCTGCTTTGTAAAGGTTGAACAATGGGTGGTAGAGTTTATGATCTGTCCATAAATATGATTGATACATTGTATTCTCCGGGTTGATTAATGGTATATTAGGGAGAAAATTTTTTCTGGAAATAAACCCAAGAAAATTGGGAGTCGACCTATATTCAGTTCAACTTATATTTGGACAAATACAATAATTAAATTGAGAGCATATATAGTTTCAATTTAATTAGTTATGAAATTCTATTAATAACATTTTACTTATTTGAAGATAATCAAAAATTAGAATACAGTAACAAATAATCAATGTTAAAGCTAAATTATTTACTATTTTGTGACCAAGTGATGAATTGCAACTCTGAAGATACACTCAGAAGTCATAAGTTGAATGAAAATTTTAATATCAGTGCCATTTATAAATATGTAAAATATATATTATGTAATTAATTATTATTATATGCATGTTGTAACTAAATTCCACTTATAATGATTATTTACTAAAATAATTTGATAGCATTAAGATAATTGATTACAGTCATTTTCAATGTATTGTAAATAAATTACCACATTAAATTTATGTCTTTCAAATTTGATATGATGGAAAATAAATGAATATTTTGTTTGTATACTTTCTTTTGTATTTAAAAATATATATATGCATGGATCGCTCTGGAAAATTTTTAAAAAATCACCAAGCAATGAATCTTCAGAAAAATTTTTCAAGTTTATGCTTCCAATATTAATAGAACATTCATTGAATACCTGAAGATTAGTACTTAAGCCTGAGCTGAGTGCTTGAATTTTTTTAACTTTTATTTTTGTAATTATTATTCCATTAAAAACAATGCGTCTACATGTGAAAGATTTTAATTTTTCCTAAAGAGCATTTCTTTTACAAGTTTACTTAATGCAATTGATTTGTACAGTTACTGTATTGTAATAAAATGATATATTACAAGATAACTAATTATTTATTCATTTACTTGAATTTTTTAATATCTAAATATATAATTAATTTATTATTTTATCATATATACAGTATTTATTTATGTTTTCATTAAAGGGGTTATAATGAAAAAAAATTACAAGATAATCTGCAGTGTGAAATATTTCAAACCCTGTTAGATGAAGCTAGAGAATCATATGATTCTCAGTTAGTATTTGAATTACCCAGCAACACTCCTGAAGATATGGAAGACAATCTGGAAAAAATGTGTCTATGGATTGACCAGTGGAAGCAACAGCATAATTCTGGATAACAACAATATTCAAAATAGATATAACATGTAACATTTATAATAATTTGCTATTAAATATTGTATATTTAAAATGATATTTTAATAAAAATTGGTTAATTAATCAATAATTGATTATGTCTGATTGTTCTTTTACGTTTCTATACACAATATTTTGGATTCTGAAGGTTATTTCATATTGTCAGCATAAGATGTATTTTGTATTAATATGAAATACTTTTGAAAATTTTATTTATTTATTTTTTTAATTGTTTACTTGGACATTGCTCATTAGTAGGATGTTATACTGGTGTTTAATATTTGATACAATAATGACAGTTAGTTCAGAAAAAAAACAAAATTTTTTTATTAAAATTCACTTGTACAGGTAACCCCCGTATAACACGGCACTTCTATAGCACGGATTCGCTCTAACATGGTTTGAGAATTGGGTAAAACCCTCGTACAACAGGAAATATAATAAATTTTTACATACTTAAGTAATAATAGTTCACGAAGATTATTATTTTCGTGAACTATTAGTACTTAAGTATGTAAATTTTCTCTTCTCGCCTTCTGTCGATACACGTGGTCCTTCTCGAAACTTGTTTCAATGTTGCCAGATCGCGACGCTTCTGCTTCTGATGTTGCCGAATGTTTTNGTAGAAGTGAGGATCTCAAAAATGTACAAAGTTGATATATTCAATTTTGATTTTTAACTCCCCAAGAATTGAGCTTTAAGTGTTATCATTAGTTTTTACATTTATCTAGAGTCAAGATGAAAGTGATCTGTTACTATTATTAAATTTTTTATTAGAAATAATAAAATATATAATTTTTAACTCTGTTTTGTGGGCACTAACAAGACCTTTATGTGGGTTTAACCAGACCTTACATATCTTGGATTAACCGCCCATGAAAAATTCTTGGGAGAGTTGCCTAGATTCAATCCTACGTCTCCGAGAGCAGTAAACAGTTTCAGTCAATTAGCCATCTAAACAATTATATTACAATCTAGGTTAAAGAAAAACATTGTTTTTTATATAACTTTCCAAATACAAAATAGTTAAAATTTAAATTTTTAAAGAGAGTCCTAGAATAAATATATTGGTATAGATTATTTCTGTTCTTTTGGTGAGAATTTTTTGTTTTGAATTCAGATGAAATAATTATACAAATGGAAGCATTTTCCAAGAATTAATTTTATTCAGTAAAATGTGTTTGTATTCTGTAATAATAATGGATATAGTATTGTAATCAATAAACAAAGTGAATTTCCATTGCATAAACATTCAAATCGAAAAAAAAGTTTAATATCATGATCCTAATTTTGACCCAGAATAAAACTTTTTATTAATAAATAATTAAGGTATAAAGGAATAATTAAAATGTTTAATATATAGTAATTATTGTACTTTTTCCACATGTAAAAATAGAACTTAGGCTAAAAAATTATCTTACCATCAGTCATGTTTTTTTGTTATAATTTTAGAGAATTTCATTAGTTTTCTGTTATATTTTTATGATTATTCCATGTATTCATTTCATATTTTATATCAAGTTTTATACTTTGTTCATTATTTTGAATTTAATTTGCTAAATCCTTATACAGTAATTACTTTGATTTATGGAAAAATTAGATTCTGGAGATGGTAATATATATATAATTATTTTTTAAATAATAAATGTAACTGAATATCTATGTTGTATCACTTATGTTATCAAAGAATATGTGAACTTTTTATAGTGACATACTAAAAATTTCTAAATATGTTAAAGAAATATATTTCTACTAATGATTTTATTAAATTTTTTAATTTTATAATTAAGATTTATTTTAAAATTCAGAAATTTGTGAACTATAATTAAAATATTCATTTATTCTATAATAGTAAATATAAAAAATAAAATTACAAGTGCTTAATTAATATACTTTTCTCAGATTCTCAATAGTCATGAGTAAAATTAATTACTTGTAATGTTTTTGTATTAGTACAAGAAAAATAGAACTATATATATATATATAATATTATTTATTATTATTATTATTTGTTTGCTTGGTCATAACAGAGAAATATAGGAAAGAAAAAATATGAATTGTTATCAGCCATTGAATATACAAATGTTGTGTAATTCTGCTGTGGACTAATGTATTTAATGGTTTTAAATGTTAGCCAGGAGGATGCTCTGACTTATTGCCAAGAAGTGTTTTTGGCTTACCTCTTGTTCTTTTGCCATCAATGGGTTGATACAGTACAAATCTTTACAAAATAGGAGAGAGAGTCAGTAAATGAACAAGCTGCTTTAACATGTTTTTATTAGAATATTGAGAAATAATCTTTGTTTTGATTTCTGTAGAATGATAATGTTTGGAACATGATCTCTCCAGTGATATCTAAAAAAAAGTGTGGAGACATGTGCCAAAACTGTTTATATTGTGTTATTATTTCTTGATAGCAAGATTCTAGGTTTTGAGAGCTGTACAAAAATTTGTCATGCATGGGCTATAATGTGAATTTTCTGGTATTTAAAATGAAAGATTTCCAGGTGTGCAGATGTAGGCATTTTGTCTACAGATGCATCATATGCATCTGTAGAGATTATACATCCTCAGAAACATAAAAAAAAGATATCGTTATGCTTAGTCTAAATGAAAGAAGCATGATTTTCAGCTATAGTTTTAAAAATTATTCCAAAAACTTTAGTCATGCAAGACTTTCATGTGCTATTAATTCTCAAAAGTTAATGGCTGTAAGGGGCTGTCCATAAATGATGTCCACACTAGAAGAGTGGGAGGAGGTTAAGCTTCAGTAAAGTCATTTCTTTCGTGATTCAGCACTTCAAAAAATTTAAACTCGATGCACTCTTTATAGTCACTAATGCACCAGGTTGTAACGCTTTTAATCGTGTAGACAGGAGTGTAGACACCTCTTAGTAACCAGCTTTCAGGTGTAATTCTAAAACACGATTACATTGGCAATCACTTAGATAGTTCTGGAAAGACTGTTGACAAACACTTGGAGCTTAAAAATTTCGAAGCTGCTGGAGGCACTCTTGCATTTGGAGTAAAATGGTTATCGATGGTCATACCATGATAGCCGAATTCATTAAGCCTGCAGATAGTACAGACAGTTTTGACGAATTGAACCATGATTGGTATATTAAGCACGTACGCGAATCTCAATATCTTCTACAGGTAAATTGAATTTAGGCTCAAAATATTTATAGATTTTAAAGAATTTTAAATAATGTCTTTTTTGTTTCTAATGATAACTAATTGGTGTTGAGTGTTGTGGCTTGATTAGAAGTAATATTCGTACGATTTTGCCTACTGGATTTCTTCCTGCTCCTTGCCAAATTACTCATGATGAAATAACAGGGCTACTTCAGGTGCCTCAGACAATGAATCATGCTGACGAAGATGCAAGATTCATGCATTTATTCCAAAGATTAAACCTTGAATCGTTTGTTTTATCGCAAACCGGAAATCAGAATAATTTGCCATATGATTACTTTTGTCCTTTTATTTGTGACTGTATACCATACAGACACAAATAAAATGAAGAACTTGCTCTATATGTCATATGTATTTTGCTTCAAATAAAGAAATTAACGAGCACAAGAAACTGACTAATCATAAAGTGTCTTTTTCCAAAATAAAACCTGTTCATATTGAAGCATGTCGAAAAAAAGATATACTTTGTGTAATAACAGACGATGATATGTTAGCGGAGGATACTGAATGGATGTCTGAAGATGTTGAGAGTACAGAATCTCTTGAATTAAAAAACGATAAAGTTTTTGAATCAGACTCTTTGCCTGTGATTGAATCACTTGAAAATTGGCTGAAAAATCCATGGACAAGTGAAAATTAAAATTAATATAAAAATGAATATTATGACGTTGATTAATGGGTGTCTAAAGATGTTGAGAGTACAGAATCTTGAATTAAAAAACGATGAAGTTTTTGAATCAGACTCTTTGCCTTTGATTGAATCACTTGAAAATTGGCTGAAAAATCCAAGAACGAGTGAAAATTAAAATTAATATAAAAATAATTATTATGACGTTGATTAATGATGATAATAATAATAAGAATTTATCTTAATCTTAACTATCGTTACTTTTTGCCGACAAATAAAAGCTTAGCGAAGCGGGTCCTTGCAGCTAGATTCTAGATTACTTAGAAAAACAGTCTTTTATATATAAAAAAGGTATGTTGCATACAAATAAAAACCCAGCGAATCGGGTTGTTGCAGCTAGTATATATATATATAATTTTGAGATTTTAGCTGTTTATCTAACGAACATTGGCACAGTATTTAGTTTCACACTAATATTCTCCATAATGATGCAATTGATTTTTTATGTTCGGATTACTTGTGTTGAACTCGCTTTAAGAAGAAACGAGTTCAAAACATAATCCGAACATAAAAAAACTTACAAAAACAATTAAAGTTTGAAATTAAAGATATGAAACAACATATTCGATTAACTTAAATTTTTATTTATTTATTTCTATTCAATGTAAAGAAGATTGTGTTAATAATTACTGTATTTCATTATTCTACTGTAGTACGTTTATCTACGGTGTATTTATATAAGTCAACATGTGAAATTATAAAGTATAAATGAATTAATTTCTTACCTGTTATGAACTTATCGAAGCTAAAATATATAGAAAAGTTGTTCAAAAATTCTTATTGTGTATTTNTGTAGCATTCTCATCACTTAAAAATAAAAAGTATAAAACATGTCTCTTATATTCATCTGTTACTTCCATTTTAACGAAAATAAACAACTGAAATGTTCCCAATTCTGAACAGTATTATATGAATGAGATCCAATTTAACACTTCAGTGTAAAAAGTATCACATTAGACTGGCATTTTTAACAGCAAAACAAGATTTTTCTCAAAGTAATAAAATAAGCACGAACTTATGGACTGACCTGATATTTTGGACCTAAGGTTTTTAGGGTTTCATAAAAAAAATTTTTTTGTTAAAATCTTTCTAAAAAATCATGCCTAAATATTACGTAAGATAGGAAAGGGGAGGGAGGATCAAAGAAAATATTACGGTTTCTTATACAGGGGTGGGTGAAGGTCTAGAATGGCCGAAATTGCCTTTACGTAATTTATGGACGGCCCCTAACAAACAAAAATAAATGTTAGTAGTTGATTAGTTTCAAATTTACCACTAGGCTACTACAAAATTATCCATAATTATGATGTAATAAATTAAAACTGTAAATTTGTTAAGTATAAATTTCATGAATAAGACATAATATATTTACACTAGACAAAAGGAAAAATTCAGATTCAATTTACATAATGAATACTGCATAAAAATTTTAAGCAATAATGCAAAAATATAAAATTTGATAGATTTATATTCTTGAATTCACTTTTGCATTCATTCATAATATCACAATAAACATATAGAAGTTTTAAATAGATCTTAAATTCAACTTTGAAATTTCAACATTATTGAAAATAATTCTAATTTTATATATTCTTTTTTGGAAATATTGTATAGTTTTATGAAGTATAATTTAAAATATTTAAAAGGCTTTAATCTTGAATTCCAGTATAATGTTTAACAATTTAATATAACAATAGAAAATTTGTTGTTGTTATCGAAACATCGAAATATAGAAAATTTCTAAAAAATTTTCTAAGAAAACATCCTATTATCGTTACACAGTTTTAATTCACCAGAGGACTTCTTTCAGCATCACTTCTGGCTAATCTTCTTTTACGGATATACCATATAACTCCTGCAACTATTGCTAAAACAGCAATCACCACACCACAAACGATACCAGCTATTGCACCTGGAGATAATGATGAAGGAGGTGAAGGAGTTGTGATAGGAAAACTTGTAGAATTATTAGTAGTTGAAGTTTTTTGAGTACTCTGGTGAGTGGTTGGAGTACTTGGAGAAGTCGTTGGGGTAGTATGGTGAGTGGTTGGTTTAGTTGGAGAAGTCGTTGGGGTAGTATGGTGAGTGGTTGGTTTAGTTGGAGAAGTCGTTGGGGTAGTATGGTGAGTGGTTGATTTAGTTGGAGAAGTCGTTGGGGTAGTATGGTGAGTGGTTGGTTTAGTTGGAGAAGTCGTTGGGGTAGTATGGTGAGTGGTTGATTTAGTTGGAGAAGTCGTTGGGGTAGTATGGTGAGTGGTTGGTTTAGTTGGAGAAGTCGTTGGGGTAGTATGGTGAGTGGTTGATGTAGTTGGAGAAGTCGTTGGGGTAGTATGGTGAGTGGTTGGTTTAGTTGGAGAAGTCGTTGGGGTAGTATGGTGAGTGGTTGATGTAGTTGGAGAAGTCGTTGGGGTAGTATGGTGAGTGGTTGGTGTTGAAGAAATCATTGAAGTAATTGTAGAAAAAGTAATTTTTGGACTTGTCTGTTTGGTTATCGGATCACTTCCATTTGTATCTTCCACTTTCCATTGGGATGAAAAATTAGTTGAGTGTAATAGTTTTATATTAAATCCTTTCACTTCCACAGATACCAAACACATCATGACAGCATAACCTACCGGAAAACATACAATATATTAAAATGAATTAGCTTAATAATTATTTTGAATAAAGAGATTATTGTAAAATATAAATTTTTAAATTAAATACTCTGAAATTAAAATTTCTGATTAGAAATTATCAGTATTCTCTGTTATTAAAAAATATCTATATCATTTCAATTTTTTGTGTTGTGATTAATTGTTTGATTGGTGCTATAAAAAGCAAAATTTGTGAAAGTAGGTTGAGTCTATGTAAATTATGAATCTTTAAATTTAAACCTTGTGATATTAATAGCTATGTGAAATTTTTAACCTTCATTCAAATATTTTGTTTTAAAATAATAAGTTGTCTTGTCTTTAAATTGTAAGTGATAATTTTTGTTTGCTGATAGAAAGTTAATTTAGTTAGATTTTGGAAGGATTTGCTGGAGCATGTGATTGGTGTGTATGATTTTTTTTCTGAATTATGACGTGTATTCAAGAGTAAAGTACGTATTATCAGAGGTCCTGATAATGCATACTCTTAGAAAACATTGAAAAAATGTTACGTCAGATATAAAAATGGGCGGTTTTAAGAGAAAAAGCAACAGAAAACTATTTTTTACAAAAGGAAATTTTGAAGAAGCTCAAAAAAAGATTGCTGATGGAGAAAGCAGCAATCAAGTAGTTTATCTCAAATCGCAACATGTTCATTATAAATTATATAATCGTATTATATGATTGAATTGTTCAGAAAATAATTCTCCATTAAGATTGAAATATTTTAAAACATGTTTGACTTTCCACCAGATAAATCTATAAATTAGAATTTCAAGTTAAAGTTATACAAGTTCATCTCAACAATTTTCTTTTGATATAAAATATTTAGTATAATTGAAATCAATAAAACCCATAATTTCAATAGTTGTTTATTAACTTATTCCTATCTAAACCAGCATTTGTCTACGCCAAAAAATCAAGTTTCATAAGACATCAATCAGGAACTTGTTACCCGATTCTCCCAAAGTTTCTGATCTAGTAATTAAAAAATTTGGGAGAATTCATTCGATTACTGTAAAGTGCGTAATTTTATATAAGGCTGAAACAGCTTACTACTCTCAGATATCTAGGACTGAATCTAAGTAACTTTCCCAAGAATTTTTCATGGACATTCAATCCAGGATATGTAAGGCATGGTCAAATCCACAATGGGAGTGGATAAAAGTCCTGTTAGTGCTTACAGAACAAAGTTAAGAAATCAAAATAATTTATATGGAAACTATTTTTTGTATTATCATAACAGCATCATAAGTACAATTACAACTTGAGAATCCTTTATCATGGGTGCATACTCCTAAGATTCCATACTGCGTAATGATTATTCCATTTATGTAGTCAAATATTTCTAGACTCCTGGCACCAGTTATCGACGTTCTGCTGTATTTACATAAATTTCAATTCGCTGAACGATTTATTAGCCAATAATTTATTTTAAAAAAACTGGTAAGGCCTTACCAGTTTCTTTACAGTTACAAGTTACGGAAATCCTCAAAGGATGTACTTAACAGACGAAAAAAAAATCGGATATAACTGGCTGGATCGAACATAGTAGTTTACAAAACTTATTAAAATATTTCCCAACGTATAAAGAATTATTTTTATTTAAAGGTGGATAGATAGAAAAAAAATCACGGTTAATCCTCAAAGGATTTCTGTAACGTGTATAACAGCCTTTACTGACTTTCCAGGCAGTCAAAGAGGAGTTAAGGGGACCATTAGGAAGTTCGATAATTTTCAGTTATACCAGGATATAAAACGTAAGTGCTGTAGTAACAAAAGCTTAAAATGAGTCGTTTTGTTGAATTATGATAAAATCTCCATTTAAAAAAAAAATATTTGTATTATTATACAGGTTAACAATGTTTAAGTATCTTCCTGTGCCCAAACTTTTCTTCTCCATTCTGTTCTATCTTGACAATCCTTTTCTGTCAATCCTTTGTGTTTCATAGCTTTCTTTATTTTTTCTATCCATGTAGCTCGCCGCCTTACTCTCTCTTTCTGCCTACCGGGGTCCATTTCGATATCTGTTGTGGTAGTCTACCTTCTTCCATTCTCCGAACATGGCCATATCAAGTTAATTGTTTGTTATGGATATAGTCAACTATAGAGTTTTGATAGTCCTTTTTTTTCCTAAAATCTCACTCTATCTATACTGCTAGCCATTAAAATTACTACACCAGGAAGGAAAGCAAATAGCAGAATCATGTATATTACACACATATACTATAATGAGAGGGAAACGTGATTAAATTGACAAATAATCTTGAGGTACAAAGCACTCAGCATGTTGTACCTTCCATGAAATATTGTGTTTGTTGAGTGCCACCTTCATTGTGTAGCAATTTTAATGGTCAGCAGTCTAGTTTTGAATATCGAGCAGATCTTCTCAAAAAGTCCATTTCTGTGAATTCTAGTTTAGATTTAGATTTTGAATTTAATACCCACATTTCTGCTCCATACGTTATTACACTTAGAACTAGTGATTTATATATGTTTATTTTTGTTGTTTTAAAGATTTGTTTATCCCATAAGATTCCATTTAATATTTTTATCATAGATCTTCCTTTCACAATTCAGTCCCTAATTTCAATTTACATCCGATCATCCTATAACCTTTGTTCCTAAATATTTAAATTCATCACATCCTTTAATCAATTCAATTTTTCCATTTTCCTCCAAAACTAAATCATGTATGTCTTCAGTTCCAATTACCATATAATTAGTTTTCTTCATATTTATACTTAGTCCCCAGTTTTTGTATTCTTAAAAATATTTAAATTTAAAAATACTTTAACACTGGCTGAAGCCAGTGTAAAGTTAAAATTGTGTGTGACATCATCTATTACGAGATGTTATTAAAAAATAACTTTTATATTATTAATTATTATAAAAAGGCAAAAAATACTTAATTTTAAATATAGAGATGAATTTTTAAAAATATTGTAAATGCCAATAACGAATAAAATTTGCATTTTATTTCTGCTGAAGATATGACATATGACCCTTCTACCCCCCTCTTTCCTTGAATTCTATACTTCAAAATTTAATAGCATTAATGCCCCTTGTATACAAGTTACTATGCCAAATTTCGTTTCTTAATCTTTGCCCTATTTCTGAGATATTAAACGTAATAGACGCCAACACATGTACTGTATTGCACACATCTTTACTTTTTGGATTCAGGGATCTCAAAACGTCGAAATATGCAAAATAAAAAACTCGGAGTGTCAAATTTGACACGATTTGACGTGTTCTGTATAGTTAAGCATACGATTAAGTCTGTACTGAACGTGTATAGACTTTTTTCTTGGCATTATTCCCAAAACAATACAGTATAACAACTATTTATGTAGTAATACAGTATAACAATTATTTACACAGCATACCTAATACAATGTAAATACTAGTGATGTAACGAATATTCGGTTACTATTCGGTATTCGGCCTATTCGGCCTATTTTTCGCTATTCGGCCGAATACCGAATACCTAAAAACAGGAGTAAGAAATAACAAAAACAGTAAATTAATCATTTTGGTGTTTAGATTTAATGTTATGGGGTTAGTACTGTTTGTTTATATTTATTTATAACTTATAACATGCACAAAATAAAAAAGAAAATAATATTAGTCACATGTATTCACAATTTATAATTACAAAGATCAGCACACGTGCACACCTATTCGTTCGAAAATCGTCGCATATCTGAGGGTCTGGGCCTGCCTATCCTTTTTAAGCGCTCGTCTTTGCACTTCCCTTTCTCTTTCCTCTATATATATCTATATAGTCCACGTATGCCTATGCATACATCATAATACGCACTCACGATACTTCGATTCGTCACTTTTCCGTCGTATATTTCCCATTTTACAATTACGTGACTCATAGCCTGGTGATAACGGAGACAGATAGGACGTCGGTATAAGTCGCAGTTATGATTTCACAGATTCGAGACAGCTCGGTAGCTCGAACGGCCCCAGGTTTCGCCCGTGCACGCTAAGTGACTTTCATTACAAGCATTTAGCTTTCCGAAGTCTATGACCAGTGGCGGCTTTAGGGGGTGGCGAGCAGGGCAGTCGCCCGGGGCCTCGCTCTTGGAGGGGCCTCGCGCAACAACCAAGTAGAAAAAAGTTGATATTTAAAACTTTTTATTTTATCCTTGGCTATTAGTTATAACAATAAAATAAATTTAATTTATAATACAGTATATATTAATATTAATAAGTGCCTACTATTTCAATTCACATACTTTGCACAAAGGACAAGGGCCTCGCAAAGATCTGCCGCCCAGAGCCTCGCAATGGATAAGGCCGCCGCTGC